TGGATTTCAAGCCCTTGCAAGTTGTTTGGGGGAAGGAGGGAGACTGCCGTGCGGCCTGTTGGCTCTGATGCGCTGCCAAAGGTTGACGGCAGCACCTGCACACCTCCAGCGATGCTGCAATACTTAATGAGGCTCAGAATCAACAGCTTCCTGGCGTTCCTCTGGAGCGAGGCAGACGAGCTTCCACACACACCACGGACACGTGATCTCAGTAAGCGTACTAGCCAGGGGACGCACTTTACTGTCTATTTTCTCCCATGCCAATAACCCAAATCACAACATCACCATGTATCTATCCAGTGCCTTCAAAAAGGAGCTCGGCCAGCTGTGCAGGCAGCAAAGCAGCCGCTTCCACGAAGCCTGCTGAAGTGCGCAATAGGTCAGCGTATTTGTTAAATTAGCCCACTGAATATAAAAAGATTTTATAAATCTATACTGAATGAATGAATGAATGAATGAGAATAAAGCTCTTCCTTACGCAGAAAAGGCTGCCTAGTGAATACAGAGGAGTGACGGAAATAAGTAAGCGAGGCAGACGAGCTTCCACACACACCACGGACACGTGATCTCAGTAAGCGTACTAGCCAGGGGACGCACTTTACTGTCTGTTTTCTCCCATGCCAATAACCCAAATCACAACATCACCATGTATCCAGTGCCTTCAAAAAGGAGCTCGGCCAGCTGTGTAGGCAGCAAATCAGCCGCTTCCACGAAGCCTGCCGAAGTGCGCAATAGGTCAGCGTATTTGTTAAGCTGAGGAAAAGTGATGCAGAAACTAAACCCTGGAGTCGCACTGGATCGGAGCGGGCCAGACGTGTGGCGCTTCACCCTTCTCCTCCAGGAACCACCGGCCGCGCTGCAGGGCCGGGACCTTCAGCAGGTGCATGGACTCTGTCCACAGTCTCGCCTCACAATCCCAATACTTATGTTCAGGTTTCCAGGATGGCATGGGCATATGAGATAGTCATTTGTATGAATTCAGCTTGTTGAGAAAGCAGTTGATGAGTCTGCTTGCTTAAAATGAAATGTTAAAAATAACCACTCTCTATGCTGTTTCTAAAACTACAGCTTATCCCAGGCGTTCCTATGGCTTCACTCTCCTGTGGTCAACTCCATCAGACATGAGCCCAAACCTGGTGAGCTGCCGCAAGGGATGTTTACCAGGCACAGGTATGCTCCTGTTGCTAAAACACAAATGGAACAACGTGGGACAGGTCTAATTAAAACACAGAAAAGCAGGCGTTTGTGTCCTGGGAAAAAAGTGGGGGGAAGATTTCCCACTGCAAACTTACTATCATCAGATACTGAAAACTATAGACACGGTTGAAAGAGAAAAATTGTGGGATGGAGGGAGAGGACAAGAGAAAAGAAAAAGGAAGAGCAAGGCTTGCTTATAAAATCCCAACTCTTAATGACCCTGCACCCACAGCAGGCAAAGGAAGCTTTCCGTGGATGGATGTCCACTGAGCAGACCCACCGCCTTTAGAACAGGGAAGGCTGTCGCAGTGTGTGGTCTGTGAAGCATCTGCATCAGTCGCTGAATCACTAAAAGAGCCCATTGAGCATGGAGATTCATGGGGAGAGGGAAGTATGTGTTATGAGAAACTTCACTTTTAACCAGAACACCCAAGTTAGAAAACCACTAATTTAGGAAATAAACAAAACAAAACAAAAACACTTAAAAAGCATGACAGCCCTTCCTTCCCATCTTTCTTCCCCTCCCCTCCTGGCATGGAAGACATGCTGCCAGGCGTTCTGAGGAAGTGGGTGGGCAGGGTGAGGGGCTCATAGAGGCCAGGCAGAAAGGTTGGGAGGTTGAGCAAATGCACTGAGTAAACAAATGAGTTCACACACTGAGGGAGCCGGTTTCGCTGCTGTCTGGGAGGAATGTATAAACAGATGGGGAAAGCTGGAGAGAACTCTGAGGATCGGATCAGAAATGGAAGCACCAGTAAAAACACACGCAGTTTTAAAGTAGAGATAGACACAGGTAGATGGGGCAGTAGTTGTGGATGTGTGTGGATGGATGGAAAGATGGATGGACGGATGGACATTAACATACATGTTTCCTGACTCTAACTGTTCAGAGGGCCTAGAAGCACCGACACCCACAGGTAGACAAGCCCTCGCAAGCACCCAGATCCTAGTTTCTAAATACCACACAACAGCACAGGAACCAGAACTTCTTGGTGAGATGGTTGACCTCAGGGACGATGCAGGGAAAGGACAAGATGAGTCAGGGACCATCTTGGTATGCCAGAAAGTAATGCTCAAATAATGATAAGGATGTATCAAAAACACAAAAAAGGGACTCCTGCTAGCCAAATGTGGACAATTTAGGCATCAAAATAGAGTATTGGATTATAGCCCACTGAATATAAAAAGATTTTATAAATCTATACTGAATGAATGAATGAATGCATGAGAATAAAGCTCTTCCTTACACAGAAAAGGCCGCCTAGTGAATACAGAGGAGTGACGGAAATAAGTGCCATTGTCGGACAGCCACCACAGTGGCCACCGACACGGCAGGAGTCACCAGAGGATGCGGGCGGAGGCCATGAGAAGTCCAAACCTGTTATATCAGTATATCTCTTCACAAAATGCTCATCAAGGGCAAACTTTTCTCTATTTTAAAATATATTTTTACTTATTTCAGAGAGGGAGAGAGATAGAAAATCTTTCCATTTACCTGGTTCAAATGGCTGTCTCCTGGAGTGTATGGAGCAGTTGCTAACAAGTATTTAGACTAAATCTGTGGTTTAAGACCCCAGCTTGGGAAGCTGTCTACGTGCCATTGAATTATTAGTGCCAATTTGAAATCTAATGAATCGGCACCACAGGTAAACACAGTTCCCATGGCAAGATGCCCTTTTTCATAGAATGTAGTGGTAACAGTGAGAAAACTCTGTGCTTTGCTAGCAGTACCCAGGGCAACAGGCAGGCTGAACCGGCAGCTGGGCCAGAGCACGACATGGTTGGGTCACGCAGGCAAAGGCTGCAGCCCAGCTCCTGCCAACCCGGTCCCCTTGTGTGTGAGCTCCTCAGTCCCACAGGGGCAGGAACCTATCACTGAAATCAAAACCAGCTTCTTGGAAGACCCCCTTCCACGGTGGATAACAGGCCATTCACTTTCTATATTCCAGGTCGAAATCAGACAATGCACAGAGACGGTACAGGCGGGAAAGAACTTAATGCATTTGACACAAAATCTTCATGAATCAGTGCAATACAAAATTACAGATCTGTTCAATTCTCATTTTTACTATAAAAAGGCTATCACTTATTGATGTAGTTCCTAAAAAACTAAATCAAACTAGCAAAGGCTGCAGCCCAGCTCCTGCCAACCCTGTCCCCTTGTGTGTGAGCTCCTCAGTCCCACGGGGGCAGGAACCTATCACTGAAATCAAAACCAGCTTCTTGGAAGACCCCCTTCCACGGTGGATAACAGGTCATTTCACTTTCTATATTCCAGGTCGAAATCAGATGGTACACGCAGGAAAGAACTTAATGCATTTGACACAAAATCTTCATGAATCAGTGCAATACAAAATTACAGATCTGTTCAATTCTCATTTTTACTATAAAAAGGCTATCACTTATTGATGTAGTTCCTAAAAAACTAGATAATCAAACTAGTTAGTAAACACTGGATGTAAAGTTAAGAAGCGTATATAGAGGTAACTATTCTTAATTCCATGGACAGCGTAAAATAGTGTTGAGAGATAAAGGGATCTTGTTAGGCACAAAGGGAGCAAGAGAAACAAGCATGTAGATATCAACTTCCAGGGGAAGAAGGTTTGACCACATTCCAAAGCAAACGTTTTAATTCCCCCTTCGGCACTCGGGGGCCAGGAGACCTGGGCCTAGGACAGGAGAGTGCCAGCCTCTTGGGGAAGCAGGAGGTGCCAGACTCAAAACAAAAGGCCAGTTTCTTCCCACGACTTTCACAGTGGATGTGGTTCACATCAAGGAAGACTTGGATTTAAAGATTTACTAAACATCTACTCTGTGCTCCCCTCTGCCTGGACAGTGTGGCTCAGGGGTTGAGCGTTGTCTCATGCACCAGGAGGTCATGGTTTGATTCCCAGTCAAGGCGCATACCTGGATTGCAGGCTCAACCCCCAGAAGGGGGCGTGCAGGAGGCAATCTATCTCTCCCTTCCTCTCTCTGAAATCAATAAAAACATTAAAAAAAAAAAAAACCCACAAGTGACACGCCTTGACCCACCTGTCGTTGTCATCATCACTGCACCTAACATGATATGACAGAAGGCAACTGAGAACGTGAAGCCGGCCTGTCAGGGCTCACGTTCCAGCTCCACCTCCTACAGCTCTTGACCTGTCACTTCCTCGCTGAGCCTCAGTTTCCTCATTTGTAACAGCAGGGATAATACAGTACATGCCCCAGACTTGTGAGCAGTAATATATAAAGTCCTTACAACAAAGCCTGGCACAGAGGAAGGTGGCAGAAATAAACCAGGGTAATTACATGAAATAATTTATCCTAAAATAATAAAGAAAACACTACCCTGAGATTTCTACAACAGCGAGTAGCTTTGCATATTTGAAAAAAAAATAGTGTGTGCTTGCAAGGCAGAGCATGAGGCTGCATCGGGTTTGCCCCTTTTCTAGAAAGTTCACTCAGGGAGGCTAACTGAAGTTTGATCAGACTGAAAAGCATGCAAACATGTGTTTCCTGAATACATGGAGACAAGAAGACCGGGATTTCAGAGACTTAGCAGATGGAAATCTGAGCCCTCTAAAGGACACCCACAGTGTCACAGGCCGTGAAAGGTCTGCTCACTGCCAGCCACCACCACCCTCTTCTCCTTACTAGCTTTCACCCCCTACTCAAGTTCAAAAGTTACAATAAAACTGAAGTTTCACTCAAAAATCAAAAGTTTTTTTTAGGCCAGCCCAAACTTCCTTTTCCCTAGCCTTCGTGCTATGACACAAAAATAACGTTGCTTTGCAAACATAGTAGAGAGGCCCGCCTACCTCGGAATACGCCAGGGTGATGTGCTCGTATATGCCCTGGTGGTGGTGGATGGCGTCCTCCAGGTCCTGCAGCTCTGAGGGCAGGTCCACCTCTCCGCAGGCCTTGCACCACGAGTCCACGTTGCTCATGTACTTGGAAGGTTAAAAAAAAAGATGATATCTATCAATGGCGATGTATAGTGAGAAGAGGCTATTTTTTAACGTGGTTTTGAAATAAGGGTAGTTGAGACATTCTAAGAACCTGGTTGAATCTCCATCTCAAATGGCTCTCCTATGAGTTCTCAAACTGGATTCCTAGAATCCACCCCTGGTTTAGGTTCTGGCAGAGCTGGGGCTGGGCCCGGGAACCTGCACCTGAAATGATGACTTCAGGTGACTCCGGGGCCAGGTCTAGGAGCGCACCTGGAGCAGCTCTGCCCTGCATTGCTGTTCTGGGCATGCCGGTTAATCTTCCCACTCCGACGCTAAATTCACATTTCTAACTGCCTTGCTGTGTCAGCCTCCAGCCCCAGCAGGACAGCAGTGCAACTCTCCCGGAGCCGTCCAGCTCTCCTGCTTTCCTCTTTCATTCAGTTGCTAATGGTTTCATTACTTTGCATATATCTGTCCAATTTTCTCAACACTACTTACTGAACAACTGTCTTTATTTTTTTTTTAATATATTTTTATTGATCTCAGAGAGGAAGGGAGAGGAAGAGATAGAAACATCAATGATGAGAGAGAATCATTGATTGGCTGCCTCCTGCATGCCCCACACTGGGGATCGAGCCCGCAACCCAGGCATGTGCCCTTGGCCAGAATCGAACCCGGGACCCTTCAGTCTGCAGGCCGACGCTCTACTCACTGAGCCAAACCGGCTAGGGCTGAACAACTGTCTTTAGCCCCCTTCTTACACCTCATACAAGAATAAACTCAAAATGGATTAAAGGCTTTAAATGTAAGATTCAAAACTGGAAAACTCCTAGAAGAAAACACAGGCAGCCAATCCCTGACGTCTCTCTGAGCAACATTTTTTTCTGATATATCTCTTTAGGCAAAAGAAACAAACAAACAAAAATTAAATAAACAGGACTACATCAAACTAAAAAGGTTTTGCGCAGCAAAGGAAAACATCAACAAAATAAAAAGAAAACCTATTGAATGGGAGAAGATATTCACCAATGATACATTCGAGAGGGAGTTAAAATCCAAAATTTATAAAAACCTCATACAACTCAACAGCTTTAAAAAAAAAATCCCATTAAAAACTTCGAGAGGACCTGAATAGACATTTCTCCAAAGAGGATACACAGTTGGCCAATAGACATATGAATAGATGCTCAACATCACTAATCATCAGAGAAATGCAAATTAAAACCACAGCAGATATCGCCTCACACTTGTCAGAATGGCTACCACCAATAAATCAACAAACAAGTGTTGGTGAGGATGTGGAGAACAGGGACCCCTAGTGCACTGTTGGTGGGAATGCAAGTTGGATTCATCACCATGAAAAACAGTGTGAAGGTTCCTCAAAAATTAAAAATGGAACTGCCTTATGACCCAGCCATTCCACTTCTGGGTATATATCTGAAGAAACCCGAAACACTAATTCAAAAGAATATATGTACCCCTGTATTAATTGCCATGTTAATATGGAAGCAGCCGAAGTGGCCATCAATAGTAAAGCAGATAAAAAATCTGGGGTACACAGAGGGTGGGCAAAAGTAGGTTTATAGTTGCTTGTATGGAAAATAATACAATAATTATAAACACTAATTCAAGAATAAACTCTGTGTTTTGTGTACCCATAACTATAAACCTATTTTTGCCCCACCCTGTATATACAAGGGAATATTGGACACAAAAAAAGAATGAAGTCTTACCATTTGAGATAGTATGAACCAAGAGGGTATGAGGGTATTATGATACGTGAAATCAGTCAGACAAATATCATATGTTTTCACTTATATAAGAAATCTAAAAAGCAAAATAAACAAAACAAAACTGAAACAGACTCACATAGAACAGATGGCTGCGGGGGGAGGGGAGTGTTGTGGAATAGGTGAAAAAGGTAAAGAGATAAAAAAGTACAAATTGGTAGTTACACAACAGTCATGGGGATGTACAGCACAGCACAGGGAATATAGTCAATAATCGTGTGATAACTATGTATGGTGCCAGGTGGGTACTGGAGACCCTGGGGGGGGAGCACTTTGTAATGTATATGATTGTCTAATACAAAATAATACTGAATGTAAACTGTAAGTAAAAAAATTTTAATGCTAATGGTGAACATCTGAAATCATTTACCTAACATCAGAAAGAGCAACAGGCCCATTTTTTCTACCTTTTCAGAAGCAAATACACACGGGATTAAAAGACAATCCAGTGAAGGCCTCCAAACTCCTACGCTGTGCCCCAGAACCTAAGGGTGGGCTGAGGGAGGCGGGGATCACGCCAGCCTCTCCCACTTTGCAAGTTAAACAAGAGCGTCAGCCGCAGGCTGCAGAGCCAGGCTGCTGACTGTCACCC